CAGTGGAGGAAGAGCACTGATGATCTTGATGTACTGTATGGCCTTCAGCTAACTCCTTAAAAGTCATCAGGGACAGCAAAGACTCAGTTCAGCCTCCATCCTTTTTGTTGACTGGTGGGGGAAAAAAGGGGAAGGAGAGGAAGAGAGAGATTGTGCTGAGGCCTTTGAGATAGCAGTTGCTTGTTTCTGTGTGTCTGAAAAGGAAACAAATTACATATTGGACAAAGATGACTTAGAACAATGGACAACAAAAAATCAAGAGATGCAAGGGCTGAGAGCAAAACATTGCGAGGGAAGAAGATGCTCCAAAAAGCATCTGAAGTCAGAGATCAGACTGAGAATTAAAATAAAATACTAGAGATAAAAATACAGTTTTCAAGGTGGAAGAATTATTTCAACTAATCACTCACTTGATAGTTGCCATTAATAAAATTTATCTTTAAAAGAGATGACAAAAAGTGTAAATGATTTGTTTACCTCCTCTTTCTCACTCCCCACCCCCAAAAGAAAAGAAATCAATAATTTTTTCTGGCCAGTTCTCACCAGAAGAGAGATTTCCAATCTGACTTTTCTGTGCTAAAAAAGCTGTAGCTCAAGGAAAGGTGGGGGATGTTGCATATGTGTGTGTGTGTGTGTATATATAAAATGAATGAATTATATTATTATTTTAATGAATTTTTCTTTACACTTAAAAAATGAACAAATATCTGAAACAGTAAGATATCATCAGCCAGTTAGGATAAAAGGAGAATCTAGGGAAAATTTTTTTTAAGCATGGCAAACAGCTTAATTGAGGAGGTGCTTCAGGCAAGGTAGGGGAGAACAAAAAGCACATGGGAGAGAGGTGGGGGAGGAAGGAGCTGGGGGATGTCAGGTTTCTAATGCTTGGCTCCAGTCAGAAGTACCTGTCACTATGGAGCTGATCCCTGAAAAACTGGGGGGAAGCTGTATTCAGAGGCGTGCTTTGGCTTGTGTACCTCTCCTCAGTAAATCAGCTTTGCATTCCTATTCCCAATTATTGTTAAAATAAGAAGTTATGCATAAGGTGAACTGGTTTTGAATGTGAAACCTTAACCTTAAGTTACTTTGCCCTGCTCACCACCCCTTTCCAGTGCTTCAGAGAGAATTTGGTTCAGTGTGGGAGGTATGGGTGATTTTGTCTTCTCTATTGCGAAAGCATGGTGTGCATCTGGACACAGACTTCAGTTGAAAAATGTATTAGGGGCTGTCAAAATGACCCTCAGGAAGACAAAGAAGCTAATAAGGATACATGAGTTAACTGTCAGCAAACAGAGAACTGAATAGATAAGAAGGAAAAGCAAAAGCTAAGAAAAAGGTGTCAATATTTGGAAGCAGAGATAGACACGTGGCCAAAAGATTTTCTGGTTTTCAGACTCCTCTGTAAACTGCTACTGCAGTCCTAGAAATCAAACTCATTAATTTTTTCTAGACTTATTATAAATTAGCTTTGCTTAGAAATTATGAGGAGACACAGGGATTTCAGCACGTAGATCAGGAGTTGCTAAAGTCTGTGTGTGTCCTGGTTTTAGTGACTGAGGGATCTCTGACAGCATCCCATCAGGGCTTGTGGGGCCGCAGCCCTGGGACTCAGCCCCGTAGGTTGCTCTGGCAGAAGCACACGCCGTGGGCTGCTTTTATTGTTTTGCTATTGCTATTTAGTCTATTAAAACTATTTGCCCTGTAAGAAAATGAATGGGACTGTTTCTCCTGAGCGCGGCCTGTTTCAAAGACACTTTGTTGGGATCATTTGTCGCTTTGGTGGATGTTGTTTTCAAAACTGGAAGTGTCAGCACATACTTCATTATTAAATGATGCCTCTCTTCAGTCTTTTTTTTTTTTTTTTCTGTTAAAAATGGATGGTAGGAAAACAAATGACCAAACCTGATCTGCACTCAATACAAGACTGTACATTGTGTGCTGACGGGGGGGGAAAAATGTACTTGCTGGCTTGCTAAATTGAGATAATACTTTGGATGTTGACAGACAGAAAAACAATTAGAGCTGTTGGATGCTTTGCTGACGTGTGCGTTGTCACATGGAGGGAGGACTTTTTTTGTGTGCCAGTAAATCTGAACTGTTCAACTCTCAGCAAGATATTAAGTTAATTAATAAAGTTCCTTACAGCTGTGCTTGGAATGTGAGGTCTGTTTATTTGTGAAGAGAGCTGGCCCAGGAATGAACAACGGAGGTCACTGGTGGGGCCTGTTAGGTGTTTTCTCAGTCACTGTTACATTAAAAGCTAGTAAAAAGCTTTCTTCTGCTTAGTTTATTGGTACATTAAAACGGTGTTACCTGGCTGAAGTGTTTCTCTATTTGTACACTGTTAATACTTAAGCAGATACTAGTTTTCTTTGAAGTGTGTCACTTTATGTGGGAAAATGTTTCTTGAAGCTCTGTGACTCTTTGGGGTTGCAGGTGCTTACTGATCCCTTAAAGGCCTGTACTTCTGTGTCTCCTGGATCACATCTTCGTACTCGTCAGACACTGGATGAAGTGTTTGGTGGTGGAAGGGAAATCATCTTCCCGCTCTGGCTGGAGGGCTGCACTAGTACCTCTTTTTCATGCAGAACAAAATGTTCACTTCACTGGGAGAAAGCAGCCCTGATTAGACTGTAAACAGCAATTGTACTAAATATTTGCGTAGTTTTTTCCTGCACCGTTTCTGCCTCTGTGTGCAGTTCCGTTAAATCCATCAGCATCATCAGATTTCATGTTTCTTGTGTAACCATGCCCTGCTTGCCTTTAGTAATCTCCTCTAAATAGCTTTCAGATTCCTTTTACTCTATTCCTGTATTACCCATTTTCCTGGTACTTAATTCATAAATAATAGTCTTTAGTTTTATCACTTTATCCATGAGCTTCCTTTATCGTATTATCATGGTTTATTTTTCTTCTATCTCCTTAAATAACCCAGCCCTGTCACTAGGTTTTTTGCTTGTTACTTTTGTTGTTGTTTGGGCTTTTTTAAAGAATATCACCATTATTAGTGGTTTGTTTTTTATTTGGGGGTGTTTTTTTTTTAAATTATTTTTAAGCCAATTCTTCTTGGAGTTGTTACTTGAAAATTTTTGAAATTCAGCATCTCAGGAGTTCTAGGTAGAGATGTTTGTGAGCCGTGATGCCAGTGGATCTGTTTATGCAGAAGAAAAGCAGCTCCTGGAAGATCTCAGCCCATAGCAAAACCACTAGAATTCAGATCAGTAATTAATCTTGAAGTTAACACTAGATAACCCTTGAGCAGCTTGACTGTTGGTAACAAGATAGCAGAGGGCAAATGGCTAAGTCCTAGCCTAACTTCCTAGATTTCTAACTTTAGTTCTGTGCTGCAAAGTTTTTCTGGCATTTGATTGAAGAAGCAGACTTTTGGACTCATGGGATTTTTTTTTTTTAGTTTCAGAAAAGAAAGCAACTCTCTGAACACTTTTTCCATTTACAAACTTCGGGAATTTTCTTTTTTAAAAGGAAATTGGGAGCCAGTACACCATAGCAGCTGATGTGACTTTGGTGTTATTTCAACTCAAAAGCAGGAACTGGCTCGCCCAAATAGCATGGCTGGCTTTTTGGGTTAGTATTGTTGCAGTGCCTGTGGAAAACCCTAGGATAACACTTTAGTCAAAGCATCTTTCCTTACAGAACCCTCAAAGTGTTGGCAGTGGTCAAACCCCCCTCTACAACACTTTCCCTTTTCTTTTTCCTTGTTTTGGAGAAAGAACCCGTCCATCTGCTTGCTTTCCTTTCTGGGTTTTCCAGCTTTGGTACTAAAGCCACAGGTTTGTTGGGACTAGGAACCTTCGGCTGCTTCTGTACGGAGAGCAAGGCTGGATCTCATGGATGGCTGTAATTAAAACTGTCTCCCCCTCGGTTTTGCTGTGCCACGACCTGCTAGGAATTACTGAACAAGCACTGAAAGTTTCTATACCCAGTCCCTTGCCACATCTGGGCAGTATATAAAGGATTGGTGTTGTCGATACACCAGAGGGACGGGATGTCATCCAAAAGGACCTGGACAGGCTGGAGAGGTGGGCCCAGGTGAACCTCATGAGGTTCAACAAGAGCAAATGCAAGGTTCTGCACCTGGGCTGGAACAATCCTCACCATCAGTACAGGCCAGGGGGGGAGGTATTAGAAAGCAGCCCTGAGGAAAGGGACTTGGGGGTGCTGGTGGATGAGAAGCTGGACATGAGCAGGCAGTGGGCAGCTGCAGCCCAGAAGGCCAATCCCATCCTGGGCTGCATCAAAAGATGCGTTGCCAGCAGGTCCAGAGAGGGGATTCTGCCACTT